TAATGGCTGGATGGATGTGCTAAAATACATAAATAATTCCATTCGTATTTATAAACGATTGTTAGAAAGCTAATGTGCTAAACTTTAAGCTCCAAACATGGTGTCTGGCGATTACCGTAGTTTTTGCTGTATAAGTCACATTTTTTTGCATAAATTAGCAGGCCTGCAACTTATACAGCAAAGCGACGTATTTATGTTTTTTCCCCCATATTTATAACCCAATTTTTGGCTGGAATATGATGATTTTATTCATTCTGACATAGAAATATTGAACACTACCGTTTTCAGCCACTAGAGGGCTCTCAACTAATATGGCAAGCCAAGTGTCTCATTAATGGGTAAAAGTGGCTATTAATGACACACTTGGCTTGCCAAAAAAACACCTTCGTCTCGCTCCAGAACTCCTGGAGAAAACGTCAAATCAGCCACATTTCCCAGCGCTGCCCAGGCGAAATGTGGCTGATTTGACCATTAATGTGCATTTATTAAAGAAAAGTTCGACTGAGTCACACCTTTACTATAATGTCAAACAAAGAAATAATTGTTTTTAGGTGGTTATCTGGTTAAATTCTTGTTGAAGTCCTCCCGTGCATTCTTACACGGCCGCCATTTGACAGCCAATTGATTTTTGGCACAACATCGGCCCACATTTCCGGGTGGTCAGCGGTGACGTGTAACAAATGCAACTCGTCAGCGGTGACGCATAATAGATGCAACTTATACCGTGAAGCAATGTATTTGTGTTTTTTTCCCACTTTATTAGACATTTTTGGACTGATGAGACTTATATGGCGGTGCGACGTGTACAGTGGCAAGTACGATATCTTCTTTTTAGCATATCGTAAACAATACACCTGCCTTCCTGCTTCCCGATTTTATTCTTGCTGATTTGCCAACAACAACATATTAATTCTAAAAGAAAGTACCAGTTTTTACGTACATACTGAAAATACTAAAGTTATTAGTTTAGAATATATTCCTTCTATTCAAAACCATTGGAAATTTTTCACATTTGAACCAGAACCCTCCGGACTCAGCTGTGCTGCTGTCACGTACCAATCAGACACAGATACTGAATATTTCTTCTCTCCTCACTGAGGTTTCTGTCTCGCTCCTCCTGTCTCCTGGTTGTTGTAATGTATGCTGATTGCAGAGCAAATCAACAGCTTCTGATAAGCGCTGCATTGTAATCCATGCCAAGAAAAAAGAAAAGAAAAGATATGTGTGATAACTTCTAAATGCCAATTGTGGATCTGTTTTACACGAGTTGAGAAATAGCAGGTGGGGATGTTTTCAGGATGATTTGGAGTGAGGGAAGGGGGAGATGGTTCAGGCGGGCTTAACGTAAATTAATGTAATTATTTATAACTACTTGGGCTAGTTCAACATCCCGCTGTGTTAAACTGCACTGTCTTTACAGGAATTAAACTGATTAAAATGAACGCATGAATAAGAAATAATTGTTCCTGTCAGATTTGCAACACATTTTTTACTGGGGGAACTGAGCTAC